CTGCAAAAATAATTATTGTCATTAAAACAATTACAAAAACCACCCAAGTGAAGGCGGAGCGAGTCGCTAGCGTAGTACCTACATCGTTTAAAAGAACGTTTCATATTAAACTGTTCAAGATAGTGTAGGTATCATTCTAAACATCAAGGACACCAGTCGACAGATGTTCGTAATTGCTTGAGCATTTCTTGTTTCTGCCGGCTTCGTTTTCTTCGAACCATCAGTTTGAATCATCGATTACAATAGTTCATTATTCCTATTTTGTATCCAAGATATTTACCAAACAGGAAAACGCTTTAAATAATTTAGCAAAAAAAAATTAAGCTTATTAGTAAGTATATACAACTTGTCTGTTTTAGAAATGAGTCAATTCAATAAAATATTTTTCCTTTTACCCAAGCGCTTAAGTCATATTATGTTTCTTTAATGTGATTACGAGTGGTGCTAAGTTCTTTCTTTATAAAAACCAATAATACGTAGCTATAAACTCTTTATTGCTTTATTAGGGTTCCGTACCTGAAAGGTGCCAACGGAATCCTATTACTAAGCCTCCGCTGTCCGTCCGTCCGTCTGTCAGAGGGCTATATGTATCTCATGAATCGTATTAGGTAGAAAGTTAAAATTTTCACAGAATGTATATTTCTATTCCCGCTATAACAACAAACTATAAAAAATCAAGATGGATAATTTCAAAAAGACTGTCATGCTAATTTAAAAATAATCGATTATGGTACGAAACCCTTCGTGTGCGAGTTCGACTCGCACTTGACCGATTTTTATTAGTATTTTTTTGTATTTATAAAGACTTTATTTATCTTTGACATGAGCTCCTTAATCATATCGACGTCATATTTATAAAGTGGGTAACTAAATAAAGGTGCATGACTTAACTGATAAATTGGTTATGGTAATGTATATCAATTAAACTGATGCCAACTTAGTAACAAATATTACGTTTTACATTAATCATATATTATTTTGTGTTAAAAAGTTATAATTGAATGTTTGGCGGAAACCAAGCGATATAGCGCGTGCAAGGTGTAAAAGGGTTCGCGTGTTAAGTAATTATTATCGGCAGCTGTCTATGTACATGTTCCCCCAAACGTTTCATGCGATGCAAAAAATAAATTTCACCGGGTAGGCCGACCGACCGCGAACACGCATATAGTGGTCAAAGCCGTAATAAAAAGTAAACAGAATCAAAAAAAAGCAAACAAATCTTTTTTTGTGGTCGCGGCTCACCTTTACCGTGTTGCAGACCGTGAACAATCTCTGAATTATCATGTGTGGCGTTTGCCGTTTATAAAAGAGGATAGAACGGTCTGCGTACTTGCGCAGTCAATATTGTCTATCTTCTTAAAAGATTTGAGGCGATTGCAAGATTAAATATAATAGCATCTGTGCGAAGTGAAGCAGCATCAATATCGTATAACTTATCTACATACTGAATCTATTTAGCCTTTAAACAAAACAGAATTTCATATGGCTTTGATTTTGGTCTGATTTTGTTTGAATTATATTTTCTTTCGCACATACAAACAGGACTTGTAAACAGGATTGAGGGTTTTATAAAATAATTTGATAAACTCGACTCGAAAATTAAGATGTATCAACAAAGAAGATCGGTTAAAATTATCTTTTATGGAAACGGTATTGTACATTTTATGAGAAATGAATAAAATTACTCGTTAACACTTTATACATATTTACATCTTTTAATTTAAAAAAAATATATTCGCAGCTTATGTACTCATATTGCTTTACATGAATATCAATTACTTAATGAAGTCGAAAATATGGGAGATGAGATGGGAGGCAAATAGGGTTCGAAAACCAATTAACTGCTATTGAGTGACTGGGCAGCAGTCAGTTGATCACAGGACTCAACACGGTTGACTAGAAGCTTTGCATCGTTCCCTTTCAGCAAATACGCTTCCAATCGCTTATACGAGTCACTGCTTCGCACCCCTCTGCTTACACCATATTAATTAGAAACTAACTTTAACATTCCATATTATGTGATATGCTAATACGTAATGAGTCTAGGTATTTTTTTAACAATATTTTGTGTTTTTGAAAGTGACTTTTAATTTAAACCTTGAGATTAAAAAAAAAAAAAAAAATTGTAGGTACGTTTATGTGCAATAATCTCTGGAAGTATATAACGGCTTATAAAAGTTCTTTGTCTATACTAATATTATAAAGAGGTAAAGTTAGTGAGTTTGTGACGTTGTAGGCGGTAATCTCTGGATCTACTGACCGGATTAGATGAAATTTCGTAAGAAGATAGTTCGAAACTCTGGAAAAGATATAGAATACTTTTTATCCCGGAAATCATGCCTTAAGGGGGTGAAAATGGGGGTGAAAGTTTGTATTGGGAAGCAAGTTAGAGACGAACCCGAGCGAAGCCAGGTTGAGTCGCTAGTGTGATATAAGAAAAGAAGTCGCGGGCGAAAACTAGTTAGCCACTTATTGTTAAAATCTTCAATAATTGGCATTGATGAAGAAGAGATGATGATGATACGTCACGGTGAATTGCAAAAAAGTCATTCGACTTTTAAAAATAAACGTCATAATATCGTATCGGATAAAAATGTCAAGTTCCATTATGATAATATAAGTCGTCCTTTTTAAATCAGCAACGAGAAGCTCGCTTGGCTTAATGCCAGTTATTATCTTTCTTTTTATAAATGGTATCCTTTATAATAATAACTTTATAATTTACACTTTATTATCCTTGTAACCGCAATGACAAGTTTTTGTTATATAATTATAATGATAAAGAGACTCGCATACATTTGTACTTACATAGTTTTGTTTTTGAATGTTTTTTGTATTCGAAAAAAACGGTCACTTCAACTACTTACCATATAAGTCATGAAGGTTGAATTTTGGTCATCATTCAAAATGTCTAAGACAAAACATGTGCGCGTTATAGTTTACAAATGTGTGTGCAAGTTTAAGTGGGTCTACTTTCTCTCTCATATGCCGGTAGGACGGTAGTGTGTAATCCCACCCAACCGCTGAGAGATCAGACGCAGGACCAACGGCTTTGCGTGTTGTCTGAGACACCGTTAATTGTCCGACTCAAAGATGCTTTTTGACAGACACGGCTAATTTCTATCCTTACCCAACACGGGACTCGAACTCAGGGTGTCAAGATATATAGCCACGCTAGCCACTAGACATAGTGAATATACTCATTAAATAAACGTTTAACCGTAAGTGTATTAATATGAATAATACTTGAAAATAATGTCATGCTGAGATATTTCCTTTCACATACAAACATCCAGAAAAATATTTTCAACTTGAAAGTATCCCTTGCTTTCTGGCCAATGAAATTCCACCGAAATATTTATCGTGACTTGGATATGTAATGCTACACGATTTTCACTTAGACTGCAAAAAAGACCACTGTGTCGGAATTTGTAATCACGTAATCTTGATTCTCTTATTTGATCGACTCACTTAAAACACGTTTAAAGATAAAGGATGACAACGGAAATATTTTTGGTTTAAATTTTATCTAAATCATAAAACATTGAAGTATTTAAACGACTGCTCATTTTTAAATTCATAGGCTATTTTACACACTAATAAATTCCAGGCAACATTTTTTTATATGTATGGCTTCTATGTACTTATGTGAACTTGAGATCTGACCGAGCTTACACTATCATAACGAGTGTCTCATAAATACTAACTTGAGCTTCTTTTTGATAGTGACTAGTAATCCAGTTGCTGTATGACTAATATATATTTAATTATTTGTCCAGCTACTTTGTTGTTTTTTTATTTTAAATTTAGAGCATCTGGATAAAATATTATTCATTTTTAAGTTTTAATTTTCTGTTTTGTGACAGGCCCGATATGGATAACGTAGGTTGAGAAAGACTTTTTTTTTATTTCAAAGTTCAAACTCAGAACACCCCTACATTATAATTACTTTATGTTATTTAAGATTTGGTGAAAGTTTAGTCGAAAAAAAATTTTTTTTTTAATTATTAAAAGCCGGACTTAAACTTGTTAGTATGCTAAGATATCTGATAGATTTTTTATCATACTGGTTAACGTTAGCCGTTTGAATATATAGTAAAAGGTAGCTTTTTAGAGACAACTTAAAATGATTGATATGGACAATCATGATGAAAAACAGCAGGTATTGGTATCAAATACGTAATTTATAATAAAGAAAACATTTAAAGTATGTTTTTGTGGATTTTTGAACACTATGATATAAACATTGTTGATCTTTACATTTTTCGACGTCTTGCTTTCTTTTAAAATATTTATACAGTGACCTGTAGGAGGTAACAAAATCATACACGAATTTATTCCTAATTTTAATATAAATATAGTCTTAATTCTTATATAAGTATACTTTTAAATTGAAGAAGTAGAAGATAACGAGATGAAATACTTATTAAAAAATAACAATATTTCTATAGATAAAGTATTTTAGTCAGTAAGTTTTTATATCCTTTCTTATGATAAGAAATATAATATACTAGCATTGCCCGCGGCTCCGCCCGCGTTCAGATGACCAAAAAGCAAATTTTTAGGTTTTATATATTATTATACTATTGCAGTTTTTGTATTTTTCTCAAAAAATGAGATATTTTCCTGCGATAAAAAGTATCCTATATGTGGATGCGGATAACCAGCTATCACCATACCAAATTTCATCAAAATCCCTGCAGTGGTTTTTCTGTAATGCGGTAACAGACAGACAGACAGAAAGACCGACAGACAGACAGACAAAAATTCTCAAAACCATAGATTCGGCCTCTGTATCAATAATAATGTCTATTTCAATAAGATTTTCCAAAAAATATTTAATGTACAGACAGGCTTAGTTACAATTTTATTATATGTATAGATATAGATAATATAATTAATAGTAACAACGTGTTAGTAAAATCTATACACATAAAATAAATAATATAGGATATCTTGAAGACAAAGCAACAAATTGAAACCGACGTGTTTTCTTCTAGCCCCAGTGGAACGGCGTTGAGTAACCTCACGCAGCTCCGGGAGTACTTGCAAACGACCGGCACTTGTAAGTGCGGTCTGCCGTGCCCGTTGAGACCGGAGACTGCCTTTAGTTTCGACCCCAAGGTAAGTTTTATTTACTTCACCTGCTTTAAGTTTGTCGGCAACGTTTTGAATGTTTTTCAAGACGTATAATAAAATACAACATTGCATTGGTCGGCTATTCACGATAAACTTTACGACACTATATATATATATATATATACGTATCGTATTTGTGTATATGTTTTTGTTTTTACTAGATGTTGTTGGGTGAAGAGGTCTTAAACGGTATTAAAATTGTTTTTTACAGAGAACTGCTTACATTGTATGACAGGAATCTATAAGTAATGATGTCTATAAGTTAAGACAGTTTCTTCGACATCCAATTGAAGATGTAGAAAAAGTGGACTTTGAGTCGGACTTGCGAATACGTTGCCTTATACTACATACTTAGCTCGTTGCGTTGGTCAACTTTTTCCGCTATGAGAATGATTTGGCAGAAGCCGGTTACAGATAATATAGCTTTTTGTAGATACGACGATCATCTTTCTGAGTCCAATAGTGTTATTTATAACCATTTAAACAAAAAAACCCATCATTATGGTAATTTTGTCATCGATATTAAATTTATTTTTCGTGTTTTTAAAGCTATCGATGTTATGATTAATGCATGATGACGTAAAGTCATCATAAGTTGCTCAATGAAAACCAGTTTTATGGTTTCATTACAAAATTCTTGAGTTTAACAGTGATAAATGTAATTTTCATTATAGCTATAGATAAAATAAAAAAAGGAAAAGCAAAACTCTGTAAGAGTCAGTTAAAGATCAAATTCCAATCGATAACATCTAATTAAAGATAACTTGTCAGATAAAATGCGATGTCAACGTTTTTGTTCTGAAATAACGACATTTAGCTACATTTTCCTTCTTGTCGGTGTGCTAGTTCTAATTCTTTTTCCTTTTAAGATGAAGGTGTAGTAGTTAAGATCCAATTGGTGCGTTCCAACTAACGCCTTTATAAAAATATTTACGATATTTTTCATTTCATATTATCATAGTGAGCTTACGAAACATCGATAAAAAATTGTTTATTGATCTGTCCGTATTTTTATAAGAGACATTACCAACACACGGACAAAAGCTAGTAATTAATGCCTTATATACGTTTTTCGAGATATTTCAGTGAGATCGTATCGAAACGAGTTTTGTTCGTATCGTTATGGATATGAGTAATGTGAACAATGCAGCACAATGTGAAAGTAAACACGTTTTGGTTCGTTTACGACAAACATTCGGTATTGTTTTTCGTGTTGAAACTCGCGAGATGATCAAGCCGCTTTTCTGAATAGATTGAAATTAAATCTATATATATATATATATATAATTGAAATCTTCAAATAAAAACAATATATTTATTTAAAAAAAAATATTGCATTGTTTTCATGGAATTGTTATAAATGATTGTATATATGTTTTTTCCATTTATTATTACTAGGCCATATTATACGACGACTTTCTGATAAAGTGTTCAGAGTTGTGAGAGAGTGTAGATCCGAAGCTTTTACTGGTTCGAGTCCCAGTCGATACAAATATTTATTTCGAGTTTGCAAAAGTTTTTCTTTACATGTATATTTTACGATTGTAATATGTGTACATAATATAATAATTATAAAGAATACAATCTATAGGTATTGTTTCATAATTTAACCTTCATATCTGCACGGTTAGTTTTTGCTATAAAATTGTAGAGCACTTCATGAGTAGGTACTCACATGTCGAGTCACAATAATAAAGAATTAACATTTCATATTCAAATATATTCCTTTATATTCGTAAAAACGATATATATTTACATACATAGATAAAGTATGTAACTACTTAATGTGTAGTTAATAGTTATATACATTTTGCTTTTATGTTTTCTTATAAGTTTATTTGATCGCTTATAATTATCAAGAGTAAGTAGTCTGTGAATTGGATAGCGATATTATCGATTTAATTTGTTTTGATGGAACACATCATTCCGTGCGACATTTTGTTGGCTTGTTCAATAATAAAATAGCTTATCTACCTATAATCTGCATATATAAATATTATAAATGTGAAAGTTTATAAGTATGTATGGATGTTTGTTACTCTTTCAAGCCAGGACGCCTGAACGGATCTGGATGAAATTTGGCACACAGATAGATTATAGTCTGGAATAACACATAGGCTACTTTTTATCCCGAATAATATAAGGTTCCCGTGGAATAGCTTTGTTTTTGTCTTCCTAGAGTATTAGGTATATAAATCATTCAATATTCTAATAGCTTGACTTTACATTAATAGTTAAATTTCCTCGTTTAAAACGTTACAAATGACATCTAAATATACATGTTATTGACGATGGCATCATAAAAGAACAGTGTTATACATAATATATCTGTCTGCGATTTATCTCGACGACAGGGCATCGTCGTCATCATTCTGTGTAGTTATTCAGAGCACACCCATTGCCTAACAAGTGAGTCGTTATAGCTTGCCCCACTTTGTTTACAGTGGTCTCACTTTGCAAAACGTACGCGTTTTGTTTGCTTTGATAATCTTCAAAAAACACGTTTGGCACCCTTCCTTTTTTTTTGATTTTTTGAACTGTTAGGATTGCGAAAGTACTTATTTTATAACGGATAATATATGTACTAGTGCGCAGCACTAATTGCATGTTTCACTGTGATATTTTATTTTTTAATATTTAACTTTAACACCTATTCATATTTACTTTTAGAAGTATTAAAAATGTATCCGTCTGTGTTTTTTTATAAACTTTTAAGTCAAAATGTTTCAATCCTTGACAAAATTTGTCAATATAATTGCATTTTTGGAAACGAAATAGTTAATTTTTAATGTTTATCAAAAAGTTAAACTAATATAAAAAACGAGGGGCCTCAAATTTATATTGTTCTTTTATCATTTATGTTGTGAAAATCGAATATAATAAGCGGAATAGTATCTACATAAGTACTTTATAATAAAGTACCTATATTGCCGTTACTTAAGTGCTATTATTTGATTTGCCTATACACATAATAAACAGCTAGATAATATAAGAAGTTTATCGTAGATATTCTCATAAATATCAATTTATATAACAACATTTGTGTACCAAACAGAAGTCTATATTTGAGTTTAACTTTATCGACAGCGAGCAAGTTTCCGACGAGGTAACAGCTATACTGCATGCAATACAAATTTGCATGCAACTAAAATTCCGTCTCGTTCGTCCGTGCGATTCAATAAAGGTGATGCTTACATAGTCGCTTGCTACGGACAAGTTAATTCTGTCAAAGCTGCGACCTCCTCGCCTTGCCTTTGTGTGCACTTGAAATGTACAAATTGCACCGCGGCTCGAAGGGGGAGGTCGGTGCCCCCGACACCCCCTCACCCGCTCTTTCATCGATTCCTCTTTGTTCCGAGCATTCGTCTTGAAATGCACTCGGCGAGATCTCGATTTCAGATTCAGCAACATCAAATCGATTTACCGGTATCTCTTTTACATCTTGTCGTTGATGGATAGAATTCCGAAGCGCAACTTAGTACTTGAACGTCGCATCGTTGAGATCAAAATCAAGACTTGAAACGTATGATCTGCAAATATCGTTACTTTTTTTTTATTTGAAAATTGTAATTTAAAACTACTATTACTAGATAGACCAGCAACTTGTTACAATGAATTATTTATTCATTTAATTTATTAGGTCCTATCAACACGACGTTTGTTCAAAATGCCAATGTTTGACATGTGAAATATTATTAGGTGGTTTGAAATATCATGAGTTCTTAAGGTAAAATAAATTTTACATTTGCATTATTATGTGTATAAATAATAAATAATATACACCGTATACACTTTTTTGAAGTTAGTAATTGAAGATCTTTTTCTAAGAAGATGCTGGATATTTTGTTCAAATGGCTAAATAAGTTACAAAAGATCACTTTATTCTGAGTTGTGTCTCCTTCGCGTATGACTATATGAAAAATATATTGATTTTAGGGCACAACGTGAAAGTTAATACTCGAAATGGATGGTCGTGGCAAACAGTCGTGAGGTTGTCGTTGATCCAGCGCTGTCGGCGATATCATCTCAGCCACACGTTTAAATACTTGGACGTTTATGGACCATTACTTTATTGTTTACGACGAAGAAATCTATGCCTTATCCGACTCTTTACACTTACAATGGAAATTGTATCTGCATTTTTCTAATGTTCCTTCAGGTCGTGATCTCTCTTAAATTTTGTGATGATTGCTATCTGCAAAAGAACTGCATTGTTGCCGTGGCATTTCTTCGTTGCCCTCGACGTAAAGGTCTGATATTTCCGCGTGGCAACAAGATTTGCTAGTGACATTTAAGCAGATCGATCGAGGTCAATAGTTTTGATTGTTCGTCGTGATTTAGCACCGAACAACGTTTCATCTAAACTTCAATTCAAATGAAGTGGGCTACTTTCTAAATGCTTTGTGTACAATATCGTTATAATATTAGGCGAAGAAATAGGTGTACATAAACAGTCTTAGGATCTTAAAATAGCTCATGCATTTAAATTTTCATGTTGTATAAATAAGAGAAATCTCTCCAACGAAATTGGTATACAACTAGCTCAAAACGAGTATTTAAGACGTTGAATGGATTTCTAAACCGATGGCAACTTTCTCATAGAGTGAGGTGAAAGTGGCAACCGAGTAGAATACATTGGGCCACAAAGCCAAGAGATTTTTAGTTTATTGTGACCCTTATGTACATACAACAAGAACTAAATTGGTATCTGTACTATACATATTATACTTAACGTTACGATCAGATATGATTCTAACTTAAAATAATAACGGGGAAGATAATATATTTCAATAACTTATATTTTATTTATGTTCATTCGCTTTGAAGATTTATGGTTTTAGATAGATATAAATAATATTACTGAATTTTGGTATAGAGTGTACGCGTTTATTTCTTCCATGTATAGACATTATTAGAATGTTTTCAATAAAAACAAAGATATATTTTGATATCATTATTATTATTGATAATGTAAAGATAAACTA